AATTTTTTCCACAATGTGGGTTGGTTCTCCCTGCTTTGAAAGGTGTGTTCTGGAAAAGTCTTCAAGACCTCCTCAATCTTGTATTATCCAGGCTACAACTCCATCATTCTCAGGAATGCTACAGCATGAATTTGGTGGTCTCTTTCTGTTCACAGAGTGCTGAGAAATGATCTGGACTCTGTGCTAAAGAAGACTGAAATCAGCCAATGTAGCTTCTTCTCTGGGGAACCAACTCCAGAACTACCTCCCTTTTTCCATCCGGCAGCGATGCTCAATTCGTGACCCTCCAAGTGTTCTTGGATTGCAATCCTGAGCTCCTACTCCACGGGACTGTTGGATGGGGCTGATGGGAGGTGCATGCCATATTCCCACTGGTGGGGGGGGGGTACAGATTCCCAACTGCTACAAAACAAAAGGTTGGATGCGGTTGTGAAGGTTCTCCAAAGAGCTCAAGAACATCCAAAGAGCTTTGCTGGATCTAACCCAGGTCCATCCAGTCAGACCTTCTGTTCACACAGCAGCTGCTCACAGGAATGCTCAAGCAGGAGCACCCTCCTGCCCATGTTTCCCAGCAGCCAGGGTACATTGACACTGGAGGAGGCATAGTCATTGGGACTAGCAGCTCGGGAGCCATGGACAGAGAAGCCCTTGCTTGGCTCCCTCTCTGATGGGTCCACCGTTCCCTTAAGAGGCGAGCGTTTTCTGCTATTCTGCGAGCAGCTTGGCTTCTTCCCAGTCTCTTCCGACTGCTGCTTCAGTCCTGCTTGGATCGGAGCCCCTGAGGTTCCCACCCACTCCCCATCGCGGCTTCCTCCAGTTCCCCCCAAGTTCTCATGCTGCCTCGTTCTGCTGCTCCTGCAGCCCCTTCTTCAAGGTGGGGGCTGGGGGGGGGGAGGGACAGAAGCTGCACCTGATGGACTTGGTGCATGGGTGACTGGCTACAGACCTCAATTCCAGCGGACCATTTTGGCAGTTTTGGTGCAATACAAGGTTGCTGTTAATAATATAGTATTCTTTACCAGATTAATGTAAGGATTACCAACAGGCATTGTTTTTAGGAAACTGGGAATGCAGGTGAATAGAACTGGGAGCACAGCAAAAGAGGTAAAAACAGGGAGGAAAGAGGTTAATTTAGCCATCAGCTATCAAGCAGTGGACTCAATAATAGCACTCTCTGAACATTTATATCCATGATTACTGAGTTCACACATGCAAATCAATGCTTGCCATGATAGCAAATGGTCTTCCTCTGATGAATATTGCTCTGGTGCCTGGTAAAGACTTTTTTTTTTCTCCCAGATGTCTGACAGATGATTTTTCCTCTTGCCTCCCCCTCCCTTTTTCCTTGTGTACAATGTCTTCTGAGATAGTAAGCCTTTGGCTAGGGAGGGTCTTTTTTGTTGATTGATTGTAAGCTCCTCTAGGAGCTTTGTTTGGCAGAGGAGCAGAAAAGCAATATTTTAATAATGCTGGATTTTCTTCTTGCTGCTCCTCTGCTTGTATTTCTGCTCCCCCTTTCCTACTGTTTTATTGTTTGTGATTTTTAAGACTGTATTGCTCTAACTTAACATTAATTATTGGATTTAATTAATGTTAATTCTTAATATTGCATTGTTTTAATTTAACATTGACTGTTAATCTGAATTATTGCTATTATCTGCCTTGGGAGATTTGCCGAAAGGTGTCATTGAGGTCTTTTAAATAAATGACTTAAAATGCATGTGAACCTCCAGCCTCGAAATTTCTCCGGGTTGCAACCATATTTTAAGACTGGTATGGTGTGAAACCTCACATAGATACCGCAATATACGTAATCAAGACTCTCCACCTGCATATCGGTTTTACTCTATTGTACCTTTGATTTTGTTCCATGAATGACAGAGCATTGCACTATTCCAGTGGGCAAAGGCATCTGATTTTTGCTTTCTCTCTCTTGTTAATACTCCTCATCTTTGATATATGGTCATCTCCTGGCACTGAATCTCTCTCTCTCCCTCTATCTTCATTTTTCATGTCATGCTGTGTGTAACAAGCTCAGCAAGTGTGCTTATTTTTGTGCGATGTTTTAATAGCCAAATAAAAATGTATTACCCCTCCTCATTCTGTATTGGTTATCTCGGGGGTGGAAAGAAAGATATTTATTAAGGAAAGCAAATAGATTTACAACAGAAATGTTTTGCTCTGGTATTTTGCAAGGCTGTTTTTTAAATGAAAGGAAAGGGATGTTTCTGCTATGGCTACATTTCACCCTTCGGTTCTGGGAGCTGCCATGCAACCTAACCTCCAGATTTCATTGACTTGGGTAGCGGAAGCCCCTGGTGTTTTAAAACCAGGGATTCTGACTGGCTATTAAATCTGTGTGCAGTTTAGCCCACTGCTAGAAGAGGGTCTCACTCACGGCGGAGCCTTTTAGCTACTGCTCTTGGGCGCCACCCAGGCAGCTGGCTAGACAGGGGTACTGCAACTCTCCGGAGCACCTTTGCCCTGTGAAGGCGCACATACAGTTTGCTTTGCTGCCCAGTATGTGAGCGATGTGCCTCTACAATCAAAATGGAAGACGCAGCTATACTTGCTATCTGACATACGGTTTGGCATTGCAGCTTCATTTGCTCTTTCCACTTTCAAAGGCAGTGAAAGTAGAGGACGGCTCAGGACAGGGATGGGAATACACAAGGAAGAGCAATTAGAACATTTTCTTCCCTTTTGAAATGTGGCCTGATCTTAGGAAAGAAGCTTGATGAGCCAGTCCACCCAGGACCAAAGCACTGGGGGGTAGGTGGGGGGGGGGGACGGTTAGCAGGGAGGAAAATGTGATCTGCCACCCCCTCAGACTTCTCTCTTTCCTCTAAGCTCAGTGGCCATCCTCAGGACAGCAGGTGGGAACATTGATTTTCCCAGCAATGATATATTATTGTGAGCAATCCCAGTTCTAATATGAAGCATTTGGAGGGGCGTCCAGTTTAAACGGGTACCTGAGACTCAATGGCTTTACAAAGACCTGCAAAAGAAGTGTAAGGGTGATTGCAGGCAAGAAATTCAGAGAAAACTGGGACTTGGGTGGCAATGAATGAGCAAGAAAAAATCATCCAGTGTAAAGACATGCAGACACCAAGGCCAAGATCATCCAAGCAATCCTAGTCCCAAGCACAAACTGTAGGTGTGAAAGGCCAGACAGTGAACTAAGGAGACAGGAAGAAAATGGATGGCGCTGGGGGAGAGCTTTGTGAATGCCCTGGGCATCCGGACCAGCAAGTGAGTCCTAGATCAATCAAGCCAGAACTTTCCCTAGAAGCAAAAATGGCAAAACTGAGGCTGTCTTAGTTCAGCCACGTCATGAGAAGGCAAGCTTCCTGGAGTGGATTGCCATGCTGGGAAAAATCCGAGACCGAAGATGCCAGACCCAATAGGAGATGGATGGGATCCATCAAGGAAGACGCAGCCTTGAGCTTGGAAGGACTGAACGGAGCTGTCATGGACAGGGCGTGTCATGGGTTTTCATTCATAGGGTCACCTTAAGTTGGATGTGTCAGCTTGCAACCCCACTACTCAAAGAGTGCCGACAAGGCATCCCTGTGTGTCTCGGTTCCACTACACCGCAGGTTACTTTCGGTGAAACAGCCGCATGCAGAATCTATACGCACCGAGCAGAGACGCTGCCCTCCCTGCTTGACTTGGGTGATCTGGCGAGTCGGAGGCTGATTGTGAAGGAAGGAATTTGGTAGCTGCTGCACCTGAATTCACTACCTGAATAAAAAAGCAAAGTGAAAAAAGTCAGCCTGATGGAGGGGAGCGTGGCTCCTATAACATTTTTGCTTGCAATCTCACATCTAAACCTCCTAGATAGTACATATGTTCTCCTGCAGCCACAGTCTCAGAGAAATAGTGTCGTTTATCATCACCATGGGATGAAAACGCCCGCTTTCTGTTGCGTCTCTGTGAGATGGCTGCGCAAAGATGCAGAAAGCCTGGCTCCACAGTTCAGAAATAGCCCCTCTGACTTGGCTGATGCTTACTCCCAAGTAAGTGCATGCCGTAGTACAGCATTTACTTCCTCACCACCTTTCCTCATTTACAGAATTTTACAAGGTGGTCCAGACGACACCTTCCATTCATCACCCTGCGGTGCTTCCCAACCGCTCTTCCCAACTTGTCCTTGCTGCAGAACGAAAAAGAGGGAGCCGCTGTGCCCCATCCCTTGTGACTCCTACTCAGAGTAGACCCAGGACATTAACGGGAGCTCCCTTAGACTCGCACTGGCTAGAAGCCGATGTCTGGAAGCACGCCAGTCTGCTTAAAGGGGCTGGCGACCAACTGATGCTCGGAGAAGTGCACGCCGAAGAAATATTGCTGGACGGGGGTGTCGCGGGCTCCAAGAGGGGCTCGAGCAAGAGGACTGGTCCTGCTCGGGGGCTGAGCATTGCCGCCGAAGCGGGGGCTAACACGGGCAGTGTTCTCACGGCGAGGAACCCCCGCGGGACCCCCCGGCCGTTGCTGGGCTGCTGGCTGTGGCTTGCTCGGTGAGGCTGACTCTCCCGGCTGGGCGAGCAACAAGCCACGGTTCCGGCAAGCCACACTCAGCCCTTGAGCGCGGGCTGTGCGAACCCAGGCGGCGGCCGCCTCTCGTCACTGCAAGCCGTGCCTTCCCCACGAAGCGAGAAGGGCCCCCATCCCTGGGCCAGCATTGCCCTTTTAAGATCGTATTCCCCCCCCCCCCATCTCCCACCCACTCATCCATCCATCCATCCATCCATCCATCCGAGGTAGAGGTTTCCTGAGGGGCTTTCACAAAGCGCCTGGCCGTCAGCAGCAGCTGTTCGCCCGGCTCAGCCCAGCCCAGCCCAGCCCGGCCGCCGCCGCCTGAAGAAGGACAAACTCCGGCGAGGAAGTCCGGCCGGGCGGAGATGGTGGACGGGGCGTCCGGCTGAGGCTCGCGGGCGGGCGGGCTGCCGTGGGAGGTGCTGGTCGCCTGCGCGGGGCTCCCGCCACCGAGCGCGGAAAGGATGGGATGCTGCACCGGGCGCTGCACGCTGATTTTCCTCTGCACTTTGCAGCTGGTAAGTGGCGGCGCCTCCGGGCGCCCGCGCTGCGCTGCGCTCCGTGCGCGCGGGGAGAGGGGTGCGTGGCGAGGAGAGGGGCGCCCCCGCTGCCGCCGCGGGAGACGCGGCCCGGGGACTCCGGGAACCGGCCGCCCCTCTCCTCGGCGGGGTACCCACAGAGGGCTCCGTGGCTGCGGGGGCGTCTTCTTTGAACCGTCGTGGCGCGCTTGGCCGAGCCCCGTTCCTCCCGCAGACGCTCCCGATCGAGGCGAACATGTCCTTACTGCATAGCGCCCCCGTCTTTCCCCCTCCCGGGCAGCCCCCCTTTCAGCCTGCCAACAACCCTGTGAGGTAGGTAGGCACGAATGGACCCGAGCGTCCCCTCTGCCCCGTTTCTGAGGCTCAAGCTAGGACGCCTTCCTGATCTTCCTGCCTTTTCTTCTCCCGAGCAGAAGCGTTGCAAAGAAGTAGAGCCCCTCCTCGTGTTCTGGGCCCCCATCCCCTGAGCCTGCTTTGCACATTCGGGGCAGACCAGGCACTTCGTGGGTCCTTGCACACTGCTAGTCTCCAAGCATTGTGTCGCTCCATGCAGTTACGTTCCGATTAAATTCCCAGCTCTGTTGCTAGAAGCGTGTCGTTTCCTCCGCTTGAAAAGGCAGCCCAGATTAAACCAGAATAGCCACCAGCTCACTGGCTGGAGGACTCCTGGTCTGTGGCGAGAGTTAGGATGTTCCTTTCTCACTCAGTGGCCCCCTCGCTCCACTAGTGCTCAACATGCTTTCAAACCACCCACTGCCGATAGAAGAGCCATAAAGTAGATTTGCACCCATTCAGTTCTTTCCTATGTTTCTGGGTTAGTGATTGTCCCATCATGGAACCTGGTGTCCGTCTTGTTCCAAAGAAATGAAGCCAACAATCTTTTCCATGGATTGGCATAGACTAGATCCACTCTTCTAACAATACTTTTGGAGATCTGTTTGTGTGTAAACTGGTTAAAAGATTCTACAGACTAACTGATCCCTGGTAAATCATTTCTGTACAGACCTCTGCAAGTCAGCCCTATAACCCTTTCCCTTGCATTTTCTTTTCCCTTCTTCTGCTTTCATGAGAAGGAGAAAAGCACCTCTAGATAAGATAGTACGACAGTTTATGTTCATTGTCTTCATTTTATTGTTATTTAAAATTAGCCAGTGTGATCCATAATCCCACTGTTGATGGATAAACATATGGTGATTTCTGAGTGACCAGGTGGCACAGCAGAACTGCTGTCCTTTAGAAGGAGTACAACTTCTTTTTTCTCCAAAGTGGCAACATGTCCAGTCCACCTTTGAATTATTCCAGATTTTTAATTTTTAGAGAGCCACATGCAAACTTCCCAAAGTATGATCTGGTCCTTCTTGTGCCTGAGAGAGCTTTCTGCAACTTGCTATGTAAATCCGCTCAGTTTAATGTTCAGCCCTAAAGGAAACACAGAGAGCCAATGTTCAAGGGCTCCCAAACAAAAGATACCTGGTTGCCAAATTCCTTCCAAAATCCTTGTCTTTTAGAGTATGAGCAGCACAACCCCAGAAATGACAGCCTTTTCATTTTAATAATTTGTTTGTCCTTGGAGGCAGTTACTGATTTTTTTCCTAAGTTTCATCTAAGTTTGTTTTAATGATTTTTTAAACGGTGGCAAGGAGGGTGAATTGGGATCTGGCTACTTTATTTGATTGGGGAGTAGGAACGGCTTGGTTATTCAGCTTGATATAAACTGCAACCGAATGGGCATCCTATTTAGCCCCCTCTCTCTCTATGCAAGGGAAAGGGCTGAAGTTCCACGCATATTCACTGGAATACTCATGATGGGAAAAGCTGCCAAAGGTCATCATTTATATTGAGTAGCATATAAGGCTCCATTGAGTGTGTTAATTCTTTTTTCCCTGTTCGGCTGCACAGCATGTGCTCTGCCAGTGGGGCTGGGATGTGTGCCAGTTTGCAACAAACAGCTTGAAACATTCTCAGCCTTATGGATTGGGGAAAGAGTCTGTCCGCTTGGGAGAAGGGGGATTCTTGTCTGTACGGTGAAGTGGATGGCACGTTTCTGTCCAAGCGATGCCTCCGCCCCACCTCTCTGGGCTTTCTACATACTAGCTGGTGGTGGGCACTGATGAACAAAGGTTGGCTGTTTTATGATTGTCTGGAGATTCAGCTTACAGCTGGAGGGTCCCCTACATGTCAATTTCCAATGGGCGACAGGGTCTCTTTGGCCTTAAAAGGGCAATGGCCCATGCATGCGCCTTGTTTCCTTGGGAAGCCGGCACCTCCCCAAATCTGCTTCCTTTTCAGGCCAGACGCATTCACTCCTGCTTAAGGGAGGTGTGACTTCCAATAAGCCCATTCTAAACATATTTCGACTGTAAGCATATGTCATTCATTGGGGCTGCATTCATCCACTGTCACTATTTACTAGTTGTCATTAAACTCAGACTCTAATTCTTAAAACTGAAAGCATTGATATAAAATTTGGGAGGGGAAGGAACTGCAAGGTGTCTGTATTTACTTCAGTGCAAAGCAAGAAGAGGGTCATGAGAAAATAAATAAATCTAAAATCCACAGCTGAATAATCAAAATACCACAAAAAATGTGTGAGCTTTTGAGTTCACCAGAACTTTTTGCCAGGGTAGGTGGAATGCAAAGCAGAGGGTGGGGGAATAACAGCCTGGCCCCCAAATTTAACCAGGTGTTCTGGCCATGAAGTCTGCAGATTAGATAAACCCAGTCTCAAAATGGAGATTTGCTGCCCGAGGTAGGGAATTGCAGATATTGGACTGCACACAATATTGTGTATTTACATTGTGTGCCTGAAATGTGATTGCCGTATCACCAGAGAGAAGCAGTCTGTTTCCTGCTTTATGCCTTAAGATCAAAGCTAATGTTCTGTTTATGCTCACTGCATTAAATGAGGCCGACACAATGAGAAGAAAGACAGAGCGTGTGTTTCTCTTGGACCGTGTTTATCTCTGGAATATTGTAATTGGCATTGCCCCCATCATATGCATCGTTGCATCATTGGGGCCGTCTCTTCCTTCTGTTCCCATCCCCCCGCAGCTGTAGGAGCTGGTCTTCACTTTTGACAAGCGTGGGAGTTCTCTGGTATCCAAGAGACTGAGACAAAGACCCTCTGGCATGTTTTTTCAAAAGAGACAGAGAGAGCAGAGAGAGACCCTTTTCTTCAAGAATCAGCTTGCTCTTTTTCTCAAGCCCCTTTCGGATGCCTTCACCTTAGAGACTTCCCACGGCATTTGCCTTGGTAAAAACAGGGAGGTCAAAAATGTAAAGTTCAGGGATTTCTAAAGAACTTGATCTACTAGTCTTCCCTGCTCGTTCTCAATTTTCTCCCTGAACGGGGAGATCACAAATCATTGGCAAAACTCCCACTAAGTTCCTGGGCAAAGCGGGGAGATTTGGCTTGGTGTGTTTTTGGTTGCTGTAGGCTCCGCGTGCAATGCCAGGCATCAGGCCAATAGCGCAGCTTTGAGAGCCGGATCGAGTGCATGTTGACGAGTCCGATGAATTATATTAAAAAGGAGGCAAGCAAATGTCTGAACCTGTTCAGCAGCGACAGTGAGGTGAATGCTCTTTGATCTTCGCCACGTCGGTTTCTCTGGGTGCTTCGAACTCTCTGTGGGTGTTCTTGGGGTCTTCTTGGACCTTCCCTAGTGTGAACAGGAGGAGGATCTTTCAAGAGCATCCTACTCAAGGGGCCACGGAGCCTGGCCCCACACTTAAGTCATGCTGCTTGGCATGTGCATCTTTCCTTCATCCTCACCTGTCTCCAGTCAGGAGGCCCTAGAAGGGCCTTTCCCACTGTCTGTGATGGGTCCCTTCCCACGCTGGGGTCTCGCTTCCCCATCTGAACACTCACAGCCCCACTTCCCTTGATCCTGGAATGGAGACTGGCAGAGGAAGGGCTTCATGTGTCAGGGATCCCTATCCATGACAGCTTTCATTCTGAGCTCTGCAGGAGCTATTCATGGGACTCGACTCCATCCCCAGAATAGGTCCACCAGCAGGGGGCACCACAGATGGCTTCCCAACAGCCCAGAATGAAAGGTGCTATGGGTAATGGGTCGCGTCACCCCGGCATTGCATCACCCACGTTGCGCCAACGGCAAGTGTGCCAAGTTGCCAGATGTTCATCCACTGGAACTCAAGAGACGTGGCGCCCAGGAGCCAAGAGGGGCTGCTTCACCGGTCCCTGGTGGAGCTCAGTGGGGTTCCATGGAAACTGGTAAGGGTGTGTCGAAAAATGGAGGGGAGACCTTGGCCGCTCCAGGCCAGCGCTGAGCCTCCTACGAAGTAGGGTGGCGTCACCTGCTTCCCACCCTACCAGCAGCGAGGTGGCACCTGGGGGGTAGATTTCTCCAGAGAGCCCTGCTGGCTATTCCTTCACTGTGGCATTTATAACAGCTGGAGGGCGCTGCCGACGGAGCTTTCCTGGAGCTGCTGCCAAGGCCTGGTGGCTGGGTGCCCTCCGTGCCCCTGAGCAGCTTCCCCCTCCTGGCTCGCCATGTGGATCTCTCAGGGGCCTCCAGGGGACAGGCAGGCAGGCAGGCAGGCAGCCTCTCAGCAGGAGTTCCTCCGGCTGCCAGAAGCATCTGGCGTGGCTCAGCCAGGCTCAGGTGCCCGGCTGCGGGGGGTTCCGTCCTCAGAGGCAGGTCGCAGAAGCGGGGAGGAGGGGCACAGCGTGCAGTCGGGGCTGGGGGCAAGCGGCGGGGGGAGACGGGCGTGATGACGTTGCAGCCAAGGTGTGGACGTGCTCTCCCACCTTGCATGGCGGGAGAGCTTCCAGCAGCCCTGCTCAGGATGGAGAAGACAGGGAGGAAGCCAGTCAGAGACTGCCTGCCCCCTTGGCCTTGTCTCTAGACGTCTGGGCAGTTGCCTGACCTTCCACGCTGCCCCCAGCTGCCTGCGGCCTCTCAGCCCAGCAAGCTCCACCCGTGCTCCGCCACTCTCAGCCCAGGTGCCACCCCCTG